AAGCTCTGCTCCAGCTGCCTTCTGGCCCCAGCCGCACTCTCTCTGGATCCAAACTGCTGCATGGAGTGGAGCAGAACTCAGGGAAGCAGGCTCGCTGCTCCAGCTCTGGGACCATTGAAGGGGCTCCACTTTAACAATCTTTTAGGGAATTTGGGCATCGTCAACCTGTCTGGCTACTTCCTGCTGAGCGGGGGTGTTGCATTCTTGGGAGTATTTTATATCAACATTTCAGGGGGTCTCAGTGATTCAAACTGCATAAATTTGCAATGAATCCACAGGTTCTCATCCTCTGTGGAGACAAAAGCAGAACCTCTTTTCCAAAGCATCAAATCCTTAGGCCTGTATTTTAAAGTCAAAATACCTTTCTTAGTAATTTCCAGTTCAAACGTCTTTCTCCAGTCCAGAACACAAAAGACAACACAATCAACACAATAATATATATCTCTACACATTGTATCTTTTGAGGCCCTCAATTCACCTTCCTGCCTCCTTTTTATTTCTTCCCTACTGGCCAGTCTGCCAGAGGGTGCCCCTCAGAGCATCTCTGGGAATGAATAAACACATACTCCTTTTAATCTGACTTGACTTGTTCCCAATCTGGAACATTTAAACCCCCTCCTGCACAAAATCTTTGGCTGTCTCTTTGTTACTTCCATGCCTTGTTGCTTTAAGAGTTTCAGTTACTTTTTGAGGTCTTTCAATTTACCCTCCTGCCTCTTTATACTTGCTTATCTTTTGGAGGATGTCCCTCAGAGTTATCACTGGGGATTAAAAATTAGAACACTTTACCTTCCCCAATATGCTCCTCTATTTTGCTGGCGGCTTGAGCCACCCCATTCACGTGTCCCCACTTTCCAGATCTCAGTGGGACCTCCACTTGCTATGGCCTACGCAGCCTGGATAGCCGAGACTGGCGGGGGTTGCCCGGATTGAGACACGGAGGCTTCTTTTCAGGTGGAAGAACAGCAACCTTTATTTTGCTCAGCAACCTTTTATACCTCTACTTCTTCTGTGGAGACCCACCAACCAGGAAGAACACAAACATCCTTGTCAATTACAGACCACAAGGAAGTTCCCCTGCCGGTCAGGGGGAGTGAGGGCAGCTGGATCACAACACCTGAGTTGTTTGAGAATTTCCTTGGGACCCACTTGCCCAGTGACTCAATTGAATGAGATCCAAAGCTAAGAGTCTGTATAAATGGCACTTTTATTGAAGGCTTATTAGACACAGGTGCGGATGTAAGTATCATTACCCCAGAGTCTTGGCATCCGAATTGGCCTCTTCAAGAGGTAGATGTTCAGTTCCTGGGAATTGGAACCCTATCTCGTGTAAAACAAAGCACAAGATGGGTTGAATGCATAGGGCCCGAAGGGCAAATAGGAAGACTAAGGCCATATATAGCCAATATTGCCATAAATTTATGGGGCCGTGACCTGCTACAGCAATGGAATACCCAGATTAACATTCCTGTATTTCCAGGAACTCATAATTCTGGGAAGGATATGATGAGGTATTATGGAAAAAGGTCACCAGCCATTCAGGCTGTACAAGAACACAACAGAATGGCGCCCGACGTGATGGGCTAAATCCACTTAAAAACCTGAGAAGGCTTAAAAATAAGGGAGAGAGACTTTAACACAGATTTTTGCTGTTTGTTGGTGGCGTGCTGTAGAGAGATTTCCTGATTCGGCAACAGCAACAGAAAAAAAAGCTGCGTCATTTTAAAGTGCGGCTTCTTGGGACTGTGCCGTCAGTGCAAACTCTGGCTTTAAAGCATTTCAATGGATTTTATGGGACTGGATGTTTGTGTTCCCGCTTGGGATCGGAAGAAGAGTGCTCTCAGAGCTCCCCGCCTGCACCTGGGCAGATGGCAGAATCAGGCTTAGGCAGGCGGAAGAGCATGGTGAAAGAGACGTGTTTTCAGACTGCGCAGTGCTCTGCGTGTCAGATTTGGTTGTAACTTGGATAAAAAGAGTTTCTGTGCTACATGCTCAGTCTCAAAATTAAACTACTGAGTGCGGCTCCAATGAGGACTTGCTGTGTGCCAGGAACTGTGCACAGCTCAGGGGCACCAAATTGATCTGAGGCAGGAGCGGCTGCTCCTTGCTGAACTGTGCTGGTTGGCAGGAACTACCGTAATTACCATAATAACAGCACAGTTAAGGTTTAGACTGGGCAGGACACAGGTGGTACCGTATTACCTGTACATGGTGCAACTTAAGTTTTTAAGAAGTGCTTAACATTTTAAGAAATGCTCCTGGATAGTAAAAATATTACAGATTCACAATAAAACAGATTCAGACATAACAGACCTCAGTGGATCACAGCGTTGAATGAATGTACATAGGCTTGAGAGAGAGAAGAATAAGAATATAGAGAATAAAGCAAATGTCTTTAAAAAAAAGGGTAAAGTCTTTAAAGAGACAGAGTACAGATAGTTAAGAGATTAAAAGAAATAAAGAAAAATAAGCCACGTAAAAATGGAAAATTCACAGAGAGTCTGGATTATGTACATTGTGTTTTCTTTAAAATTTTTGACTCTAAAGGAGCTAAGTACAGACAGACATTTCATTACATGGGCTGCCAAGCTAAACCATAATGGATATAAAGGTATTACGATTTCAAAATTTGGGTCTAAGGATATGATACTTTGGAAAGGGTCTTCTTTTGTTTTCACAGAGGACCAGACCCTGTGGATTTCTTCTATCCCAATTTGGTATGATAGACCACGACCTCCCGAAAAGTTGCTGTGAACATCTTCACAAAATTACTTCACTCAACTGCCAACTGAGATGAACCTGACACACAGGTTACACCCTAAACGATCTGATTAACAGCGCCCCCATTCAGCAGAAAGCAGTTTGGAGAGAAAAAACTGCGCCCATGTTCCCAAAATATTGTTTATAAATGTTCTTTTACATTTAAAGGGGGAAATGATATAGGTATGAATAATTTGCATTGGTATGGATTTAAAGGTCAATTTTGTTATATGTATATGTATTTCTGATATTGATTAAGGTATTGTGATTGTGTAGTTCATTAAAAAATGTAATGTATAATTAAGAAATATAGGTTAATGGATAATCATCAGTAATAGTCAAGCTTGTAGTCATGTTAGTTAGATTTTCTAGATATATAGAGATACATTTCAGTTAGATAGACATTCTTCATATCTTTCAAAGACTACAGAATATGTCATTTAATGTTTTAATAACTTAGGACTTTTCATGACAATGAGACACTCTGCTCCTGGCAGCACCAATCTACTTCAAGAAGAAGATAGGCATCGAAGAGGATCCTTATGGAGTTTGATAGCCATTTGGGCAAGAAACTGTTCTTGACTGGACTGTTGCATAAACTGGACAAAGAGAACCCACAGAGAGAGGACTACTGAACTTGCCTAAAGGTGAGACGGTCTTTTGGGGTTCATGACTCATGAAAGAGTCTGCGAGACATTCTACAGGACACAGCAGATAGTGACTGAACTGTCTTTGAAATTTCCTGCTTCATGGTAATGTCTGCTGGATATTATGGGCCTGAAGGCTGAAGATGGATGCCCCAACCGTACAAAGGAACTTTGGGCGACTGTCCAGGCAGTGAGATGTCTCTGTCATTTCTAGAGTTTTCTTATTTCTTGTTTACTTAGGTAGTATTATATCCTTCTGGAGTCTTTGATGGAGTTGAAGAATGAATAGATAGTTATTGTTTTCCTTAGTTATGATAAAAGATAAAATAGATATAAATATTGTAACTGTAATTCTTGCTTGATAACTGTTTTGCTATATGTAATTTTACTATGTTAAAGTTAAAGCCTTTCTTTTTTGTTTAAACAGAAAAGGGGGAAATGATGTGGGAGTGATTTCTTATTAATAAAGAAACTGCCTAGACCCATTTGATAGGCCAGCCCTTAGGTAGGCGGAGTAAACAGAACGGAATGCTGGGAGAAAGAAGCTGAGTCAGGGAGTCGCCATGATTCTCCCACTCCAGACAGACGCAGGTTAAGATCTTTCCTGGTAAGCCAGCTCGTGGGCTACACAGATTAATAGAAATGGGTTAGATCAATATGTAAGAGCTAGCCAATAAGAAACTGAAACTAATGGGTCAGGCAGTGTTTAAAAGAATACAGTTTCTGTATAATTATTTCGGGTAAAGCTAGCCATGCGGGCGGCCGCATGCCAGGGACGCAGCCCTGCCGCTCGAAACACAACAGGAGAACCATGGCGACTCCCTGACTCAGCTTCTTTCTCCCAGCATTTTGTTCTGTTAACTCCACCCACCTAAGGGTTGGCCTATCAAATGGGCCTAGGCAGTTTCTTTATTAATTAACCAATGAAAGCAACAGATTAGAAAGAAATAACTCCCACATCAGTGTACCATATATAACAATAGAGTCACTGTGAAAATATTTTCAAGGCTTCAGTTAGGTGCTTATAGCTAACCATACACTTATATCCAATCCAATTCTTTTTTTTTTTTTTTTGGTTTAAAGTAATTTTTATTGCCTAGGATATTTTTTCCTTATGTTTTGCTTTTTTTTTTGGTTTGGTGTTCTCTTGTTTTTAATAACTATAAATTCAAGCTTAGGAAAACTTGTTTTTGTTCTGGAAAACAGAAACTAAACAAAGCTTTTATAGTACTGTTTGCAAACCTGACCTCATTTAGAAAGAGATGTAGTTGCATGGCTAGAATTCAGCTTCTAGCATGAATGATGCAAGTGTTATTCTGGTGGTACTAAGAGGAAATGATGGCATTGTTGACAAGGTTATAATCTGCTGGTGGCATTGCTGAAAAAAGCCCTTGCAAATTTCTAAACGACAGGAAATTCTGTTAGGAATCTCTAACGTGTCTTACAGGCCAAAAAGGGAAGAAGGTTAGTAAAATGACTCAACAGAGCTTGAGTAAAATACTGGATTTGAAAATGACTGGGATTGGGTATGTAAAAATAGGGTTGTAGGTTGGGGATCATGTAGGTCTCAAATTCAAACTACAATACACCACTTCACAGGCCATGCACATTTCCACGTGCTTTTCGTTTCCCACAGTAGGTGCTGGCAGAAGGTGTGCTCAGTCGTTTTCCAATATAGACGCCCAGCCCCAAAGCCAACACGTGAGAAAGGAAGAGAGACGGGATGAAGACCTTCAGGAACTCTGCAGAGAAAATGCCCCCTTTCTTCATAGCTCCACTGTTCCTCATGCTTAGAGAGACAGCACTTTTAGGGTGTCTGAAATGGAACTCTTTGGGTGGGATGTTTTCGGGTATACTGGACCAGTCTGATACCCAGTCTGCACTTTTCTTCAAAGCCTCAACTTCTTTCTCTCCTTCTACAACTTCTTCTGACTGAGAGCTATGGTCCCTGCTGGTGTGCATCTCAACATCAAACATGATCTGTCCATCTTCTTGTGGTAAAGGGCTGTCACAGTGAGAGCTGCCTCTTGAGCGGCTCTGTCCTGACTCATGCTGTGCGTCCAGAAGGATCTTCTCCATGTCTCCATTGTGGATTGAGGAAGACGAAGGGACGTGCTCCAGCCCCCCATTCTTCCCGTTGCCATTATCATTGCCATTGCTGCTGTTCATAGGTAGCTCCACCCAGGAACTCTTGAGGCCGGCGGGAGGCGGCAGGGGCTGCTCCCCTTCCTTGCAGTTGTTGTTGTACAGGGGTGGCGGTGGCTCAACTAAGTGAGACATGGTCAGGAGACTGGGAGCACCGCGGCCACAGCACTACAGTATCCGGCTCTCGGGCAGCAACACAATAAGTCGAGTCCCCCCACCCCCTTTTCTGCCTTATATCCAATTCTTTCCTTCATTTTGAACAGATATAAGTGATGAATTACCTCTAATTGTACTTGCTTGTCTAATCATGTCAATATACTTCTGAAGTAGATTGCCTATTTCATATAAACAATAAAGTTGGCTGAAGAGCAAGGACAATCAAATGAGCATTTTTATTTGTGGAATTAATGGTATGTAAAATGGAATATTCACAAAATTCTAAAAGGTTGTTAACTAAAGAGCAAATTTTAGATGTCCTGTAAATATGGCATAGCCATTGTATTCATGAATTCATGAAACTATGTTTTTCTGAACAAGAGAAGTTTAAGATTTGGCCCCTCAAAATTTCATTACAACTCTCCTTAAGAGACTATCTTGAGATAATAGTTGGTGGAGGAGAGATGTCACTTTCTCCAGTGTTTGGGTAAAAATTCCTAATTACATTCAGTAAACCACATACAAAAGAGACATGAAGGTAAGATAGTACTTGTTTAGAAAAAGAGCTACAAAAGGAAAGTAAGGGGGATGGTTGGCATAAGCATGACTACAGTTTATTATATAAGCATGTGAAATTATCTACTAATGGAAAAATTTGTAACAAGCAATTTTATCACAATTCACTTGCACAGAAATGGGCAACTAATCTTGATTGCTTCAGAAAAATAATATTTCATATCTTTTTTGTTGCATACCTAAGGGAATGACTTTTCTGGGAATGACTTATACTTTCTGACTCTTGCAAGCTTAACTTCAAACACTGAATGTTGTAGCCAAGTTAATCATACTCTTTGAGATCATTTGAAATTTTCATTAAGTCCATTTTCCAATTGTTTACTCAGCATGTTTAAAATTAACTTGGCTTTAAGAAAACAATATAATCGATCTTGCTATAACTTGGAACACCTGTGCAATAAACTTTTACATGTTAAGCTGAACACATAGTTTTTAATCTTAAACCATGTTCCATATTTTTCCTTTGTGTCCCTTCCATGATCCTGACTCAGAATTATATTTCTGTGTTGTGGAAATTGAGGCTAACATCATCTGCTGAAAGCAGAGGTTTGAAAGCAGCCTTGAATATAGCAGATACCCATAATAAAGTTGAAAAAAAGGTTTTAGTAGAAGTTGGTAACATGCATTGGTGAATCTGTATGCTGTTTAGAGTCAATAGGAGCCAGGGAGCATCTTCTTCCCTCATAAAATTCTTCTGAAAGATTCTTTAAGATAGAAAATTCCTAATTCATTTCTCAGATAACATTTGATATGTTCTTCAATAAATAGAATGACCTCTACATGAGGAAGAACAATTTTTTCTTTTTTTTCTTATTTTTTTTTAATTTATTTATTTATTAAAGATTTCTGTCTCTTCTCCGCCACCGCCTCCCATTTCCCTCCCCCTCCCCCAATTAAGCCCCCCCACCCTCAGCCCGAAAAGCAATCAGGGTTCCCTGTCCTGTGGGAAGTCCAAGGAACCCCCACCTCCATCCAGGTCTAGTAATTTGAGCATCCAAACTGCCTAGGCTCCCACAAAGCCAGTGCGTGCAGTAGGATCAGAAACCCATTGCCATTGTTCTTGAGTTCTCAATAGTCCTCATTTTCCGCTATGTTCAGAGAGTCCGGTTTTATCCCAGGCTTTTCCAGACACAGGCCAGCTGGTCTTGGTGAGTTCCCAGTAGAACATCCCCATTGTCTCAGTGTGTGGGTGCACCCCTCGGGGACCTGAGTTCCTTGCTCGTGCTCTCTTTCCTTCTGCTCCTGATTTGGACCTTGAGATTTCAGTCCTGTGCTCCAATGTGGATCTCTATCTCTGTCTCCTTTCATCGCTTGCTGAAGGTTAATATTCAGGAGGATGCCTATAAGGAGGAAGAACATTTTAAAGTAAGGTTGAGACTATTCTTGTTTTAAAGTACCCCAAGAGTTTTTTTAATGTGACATCACCACCCTTAAAGTATTCTTTGAATCATTAGCATAGCTTGCTATTGGATAAGAACTATTAATAGTATGAGTCTAATTTAACAATTAAACCATTTTGGCTATTATAAAATGCTCCAACTGAAAGAGGAGCTATAGATGGGACTATTATCATGTCATATTAAACAAAGTATCTACTTCAAGGGCCTAATTATAAAATAATATAAAAGAGTGATAGGGTTGAAAATTTTTCTGCAATATATATGGCAGGCAGGAAAAATAAAAGATAAAAGTTCTTGAAAAAGAGAAGAATTTGCATCTATGGAACAGTAATATTAAAAAGAGATGTGCAAAATCATCAGTTTGTCTGTAGATAGAGAAGTGTGAAGGGATATGTTGTATACATTCTTAGGGAATGATTTAATATCACTTCGAGAATCACCAATAAAGACAAGACAAGATGGCTAATCCTAGTGGCATTTCCCTGAGGTATAAATTACTTATTTAACTCCCACAGTAGTAGGAAATGTCAGCTTTTAATTTTCCTTTGTTCCACGTTGGAAGATTTAGTATAATAATCTGAGTACAGAACAAAAGTAAATTGAAATGGTGAAGGAACAAAAGATAAAAAGGGAGTGTTTCAATTTTGTTATTGGCTAATTAAAATTGAAAAAGTAGCAATCCATTTTTTTACAAAGTATATTTTGCATTCTTACTAATTTTATCAGATTGAGAAGATATTGTTATGCAGTTCTTTTCTCTGTTCCCTGCATAGAAAGCTACTAAACATCCTTTCTAAACTTTTAACCAAAGGGGTAGTACAAATGAAACCACACATGTATGAAATTGTCAAATAATAAATTAGTAAATAATAAAATAGTGCATATTAAAATTATTTATAATCCAGATTTAGTTTTCATTTATGCTATTTATACTATGAGTGCAAATTTAGCAAATTGAGATAAATTATTCTCAGAATGTATTTTGACATTTTGTGGCTTTGTCATAGACTATGAACATAAAGAACCAAATTCTGATAGTTCTGACCACTGTTACCTAGAAGTAGATTTTAAAGTTGAATAATGTTAGGAAAACATCTCCCCTTTTCCTTTCTCTCCATATATATATTCATGGATATATGATTCCTTAGTTTTGTTTTTTTCTTTACTTTTGTCCTTTAAATATTATAAAGTAGCAAAAATATGAAATAATTACAATGTTTCTCCCTTCCCTTTCCTCCCTGCAAGCTCTCTGATATAACAATTCTTGTTCTTTTTCAAATTTGTGACATCTTTTTTTTCATTAGTTGTTCTTACATACACACATGCACGCATACATACAAAGTAAAATGTCATCCACATATTGTGTGAGTTTTGACTTAGGGAGAGACAGTAAGAGAAGTTCAGAAACTGAAGCCTAGCCAAACACGTGTGGGCTGTCCAGGAATCCCTGAGGAAGGACAGGCCAGGTGAGCTCTGTGGAGAGGTGAGTGTCAGGATCAGTCTAGGTGAAGGCAAAGATGTTTTGAGATTGAGAGCTAAGGAGAATAGAGAAAAAACACATCCTTAGGGTCTAGAACTGAGAAGTGGGGAGTTCCTGGAGGAATAGTGGAAATAAGTGTGTAAGGGTTAGGCACTACATGGTGCAGAGGGACTACTGAGGAGATAATGAGCTGGAGGTCTTGAACCAGGTGATAGGTTTCCTTAGTTTTTTGTAGGGATAAGTCCCGCCCCTTGGGGGGGCGTGTTCGCCTCGGGCTAATGTCTGCCTATAAATTTGGCGAGTGAGCTCCCAGCTGTTGCTTCTGCTTTCCTGGTCTCCACTGGAACGGTGGTTCTGTAAGTCTATTTCGACATTAAAGCTATATATATTTTTTTACAATCTGTCTGCATTCGTTTACACCGCTACATTTTGGAGTCCAACGTGGGCTATTTTTGCCCCCGACTCAAGCGGGTAGCCCGCTAGCTAACACAGCACCCTTCCGGGTGCTGTTTTTTAGTTCGTGACTTCGGCCCCAGTGCCGAGTCTGAGACATACTGGGCCACACTGGCCCATTCTGCCTGCCTTGGCTAAGTTTTGCAGCGGAACCCGACTGCCTGAATTAGCAGAAGCTCAAGTACCTGCGGTTTTGCAACAAAAGCTGCCACAGCGGCAGATTTGGTCTGATACAAAGTGACTTGGCTGGGCAGTGGTGGCGCACGCTTTTGATACCAGCACTTGGGAAGCAGAGGCAGGCAGATCTCTGTGAGTTTGAGGCCGGCCAGGCAGTGGTAGCACATGCCTTTAATCCCAGCACTTGGGAAGCAGAGGCAGGCAGATCTCTATGAGTTTGAGGCCTGCCAGGTGGTGGTAGTGCACGCCTTTAATCCCAGCACTTGGGAGGCAGAGGCAGGAGGATCTCTGTGAGTTTGAGGCCAGCCTGGTCTACAAGAGCTAGTTCCAGGACAGGCTCCGAAAACACAGAGACCACCACTGGCAGTAACCTATCATTGCAGGTAAAAAATTTTCTTTTATAAATAAAATGTCTGAACACGTTTGTATTCAAGAATTTAACAGTTTTTTTTTTTTAATTGTACCATGTGGGAGATTTTACAAGAGGTGTCCATCACCACACATCTATGGATCCTTCTGGGATTCGTAGTTTTCATTGGCACCAAATGGTTTGATAATAGAAATATGATAAAGTCTTTACGAGACGAATCCAGGATTCTTAAGCCAGAGATTGAATGCTTAAAAACAATTGAGAATGACAACAATCTTCTCAAGAATCAGTTTGAAGTTCTCCAGGCTGAAAACAATCTTCTCAAGAATCAGTTTGAAGTTCTCCAGGCTGATGTTAAGGAGAAATTCATTACTATGGAAGAGGGAACAGCTGATCTGGATCGTAAGCTTCAGTCCCTTTCTGTAGGAAATTAAACATTAGTGGCTGATGTTAAGGAGAAATTCATTACTATGGAAGAGGGAACAGCTGATCTGGATCGTAAGCTTCAGTCCCTTTCTGTAGG